GTGCCAATTACACAAGGAGAACCCAGTGTTTTGACTGCGAACACGAAAAACCAGCCGTTGACAACACTCCGTCCGGAGGTCCTGACCTCCTTCACGGAGTAATTAAACAAAACTTCACACACACACACACACGGTATGAACTATACATATGCAGGTGGACATCTGATTTTAACATACAGAACAACTTATACAGATAGCTCCAATTTATGTAATCTTTAAAGTAATACATACTAGTACATCAAAATTACAAACAGTACAATTTATCAATCCATTTTGTCATTCCTAATTCTGGTGTGTAGTAGTTAGTGCTGAGTAATAGGAAATCTATGGGTGTTTTTTGTCAAGATTGACTATAGTAAAAATTCTGTATCAGTATAGCCGGTATAACCGCCTTTCGGCGTAACACACCAGCTTCGCAGGCACGCGGCGCGGTGGCAGCTGGCTATATTACACCGATCGACTTGTTACACCTAACCCTTGAACTTCTAACTCTAGACATTGTTATATCATTATATCAGGATTCAGTAATTGGTATCAGCCCTACAGCTTCCAGCTCTGGGAAATATGAAGTATAGCTTAAACAAGAAAGTATGATTATCATGATTTTGAACACTATTATGTATAGTTTTTATGTAACATACATATGGCAACTCCTATGGTACAGCACTAACTCTGTGTCCAGACTGATACAGTATGATTGTTATCATCAGTCACCACCACATCTCCACCTTGTGACACAGTAACACCACAGGGCGACTTCATACCAATTCCTATGTCACACAGAAATCTGCCCTGACTGTCAAACATTTTCACACAGCCATTTCCATAGTCAGCCACAATAATGTTGCCCTTTCCGTCAACACAAATGCCCAGAGGATTATTCAGCTGACTTTCATCAGATCCCTTACTCCCAAACTTGAACTTGAAGTTCCCCCCTCCGTCCAAGACATGGACACAGTGATTGTTGCCATCAGTGACCAGAATGTTCCCCTCCCCATCCACAGTGACATATTGTGGCAACCAAGGCTCTGGTGACCTATGACCTGAACCATATGTCCCCAGCTCAGAACCATCTTGGTTAAACACTCGAAGTCGACCATTCTGGTCATCAAACTCTGTAGCAATCACCTGTTCTGTTGCCATAGATACAGTTATGCCACGGGTGCGTATAACATATGGCAGATCTATTGTGACCAAACATCTACCTTCCCTGGAATACTGCACTACATGATCATCACCCACCACCCACAGGTTGTCATTTCTATCTACAGCAACATCCTGTGGATTTAGCTTTTCACCAGTTTCCCCTGGCAGAGTTGTTGTGAACTCTCTGATATAAACACCATCCATTGTGAACACCTGGATTCTGCTGTTACCATAATCAGCAATGTAAACTTCATTGTCTTGTGAAACAGCTCCATAAGGACATGTAAATCCCCCCCTACCTGACCCCCCTCCCCCAAAGCTGACTTTCCTCACCCATGGTTGTCCCACCCTGATTGGTCTGACATTTGTACTTCTTACTTGTCTAGAACTTGTGCATGTCTCTTTGGACTTAACCAAAGCCTGCTTGTTTGACATGGGTTTCGTTGTTACCTTACCCAGCTCTATCTGTGTGCCTGATTTCTTTGGTTCAAAATAAGAAAGTTTATTTACACAGATCTCAGGAGTTTGAACATTCTGGAACTTTTCCTTGAGTGTCTGTGCTAAGTTTAAGTCCTGTGATAGCCACACCACCTCTTCTTGTTCCATGCACTGTTCTGTTCTCTCACAAACCCTGGACAGTTCAGCCAGCTGAGTCAGCACCTGGTCATTCTGTTTCTCCAAGGCAGCCATGTTGTCCTCAAAACTCTTCTCCAAAGTATCCAACAGTTTGTCCCGCTGATCTTTAATCTTCTTCACGTGCACCTTACAGGCCTTTCTGATATCCTGCTGAGTTTGTACTTTGTTGTCCATCAGCCTTTTCTGAGATTCCTTGATCTCTTGGAGGAAAGTTGAAAAAGTCTCCATCTTCTCCTTTCCAGTGTCAAGCTCTGCCATGATGTTATTCCTGATCTGTTTTGCCTCCTCTCTCACTCCTGTGATTTTGTGCCCTTTGTGAAAATGGCTGATACATTCACTACAGATCGGTACCTTACAAGTGCTTTCCAGACAGTAAAGTTTGATCTCTTCTTGAGGGTGGAAGCTGCACCTGTTCTTCTGTCCTCCCACCTGTGTGTTGGCAGGTGTCCGTGAGGTTTTCTTGGAGAATTCCTCACACAGGTTGGCTGTTCCGAGGTTGTCAGGTAGTCCAGCTATCCCCTGGGTAGGCAAAGTCACAGGTTGGCCACAGTCTGCAGCTGGACGATCTGCAGACGCCATTTTCACACCTTGAGAAATGGCGTCCTAGCCTGCCACTCCCCCTACAAAGTTCACTTTCAGTGTAACTTTGTACCTACATGTGACCACTTTTAAGGGTGGAATGCAAATACACATCGTTTCTTTATCTTTGCAGACAAAGAATTTCAAATGAACTTTGATATCTGAAGGATCTGTAAACTATAGCTACTGGTGGTGAACTTAGATACCAAACTATATCAATAATTGAATGCAAAGTTCTTTTGATCAGAACCATTTATTTTTTACGAGCCGACATTTCGATGACCGTCTGTCATCTTCATCAGGGCAATTCTGACTGGTTTACTGTGCACTGACGCTACATAGTGTAACACCTTTAGTGCACTATGCACCAAGTAACATCTAGTGTCAGTGCACAGCAAACCAGTCAGAATTGCCCTCAGGCTGATGAAGATAACAGACGGTCATCGAAACGCCGGCTCATAAAAAATAAATGGTTGTGATCAAAGAACTTTGCTATTCATTCGTTTACCAACCTGATGAAATTATTTACGTATGTCAATAATTTTTCACCGAGTGACATTGGCTTTTTCAATATTTTTTTCTCGGAGATTGAGAATTCTGATTAAAATTTGATGGTGCTGATGTAACAGTTCCTACTACCTCAGTACTGAGTGCCACACCCAACATGTTCCAATTAGTTTTCTTGTAAAAAAAAAAGAAAAGATTATTAGGACAATGCAAGGGAGGAGAGCAGCTGAGGAGGTGCTCCCACAAACAGTCTATAGGTTGCATTTGTTCGTGTAGAAGAGTTGACACCGAGCCTAGCTGGTGAGACTGTATGGGTATACACAAACACAATGTACATGACTGTACATGTACAAGTCAGATGTGTCTATAATAAGTTTTATTTGCTCCTACAGACCGTAGGTTGGTGCGTGTTGAAGAGTTGACACCGAGCCTAGCTGGTGAGACTGTATGGGTTCATGTATACACAAACACAATGTACAAGTCAGATGTGTCAATAATAAGTTGTTTTTTTTTTTCAGATTCTACATTGGTGGGTGTAGACGTGTTGACTACAAGTCTAGCTGGGGAAATTGTGTGGGTTCATGTACCATTCAGATGTGTCTTTAATACTTTTTTTGCTCCTACAGACCGGAGGTTGGTTCGTGTTGAAGAGCTGACACCAGGCCTAGCCGGGGAGACTGTGTGGGTTCGAGCTAGGATGCACACCAGCAGGGCAAAAGGTAACATTTTCTCACAAAACAAATTATTTGTGATTTTATGACGTGGGCTTTGATAAATTCCAATTTGAAGTTAACAGAATGCAACAGCTTGATGGAACATCTATGGATAAAAGCTTATCATAGGACGGAGCAATCCCTAAACATTTGTTGTTTTCATGTTTACCAAAGGAAAACATACTATTTTTTCCCTGTTTCCTCTTCTTCTCCAAACCAATAATGTCAATGACCTGAACCAGATGGCTGTCACCATGGTAACTAGTGTTGGGTTACATCATGTTGCAGTTTTATAGCAGAAGGGATTTAGACTCCTGTCACCATGTATATTATATGAATGTGTTTGAGTAAGAATTAACAGAGCAGACCATATGCAAAATAAACATTATGCATTTGCTTTGCAAATGTTACCTTAAAGTTTCTAATTTGTTGGGTTTTTTTACAGGAAAACAATGCTTCCTTGTGCTGCGACAACAGCAGTTTAACGTGCAGGCTCTGGTGTTTGTGAATGACAAGACTGTCAGCAAACAGATGGTCAAGTTTGCTGCAAAGTAAGTCAGACTTGAAGTTACTGGTGTTTTATCTTAAAGTTTGTTAATTTGTTACTAGTAAATTTGTATTATAGTCTAGAATTTGTCTGACTATGAGGTACTGTATTCTGTAGTTAAGTGTGATGTTCTTTTGGGGAATAAAGAGAAATGTTAAGATAGTATTACACATTAAGATTAAGCTTATTCATAGAAATCTTAATTGTGAGCGAGTTGAGAGTGAGTGAGTGAGTGGGTGATTGAGTGAGTGAGTGAGTGAGTGAGTGTATGAGTGAGTGTGTGAGTGAGTGGGTGATTGATTGAGTGAGTGAGTGAGAGTGAGTGAGTGAGTGAGTGAGTGAGTTTAGAGTGAGTGAGTGAGTGAGTGAGAGTGAGTTTAGAGTGAGTGAGTGAGTGTGTATATGAGTGAGTGAGTGGGTTAGTAAGTAGCTAACCATACAGACTGCATTGGTTTGAGGAATAGTTGAAGTGAATTTCATACAATTTGTTGCAGTTTTGTGTTTACTGTTATTATTATAATATCTTAAATAATATTTTTGCAGCATCACAAAGGAGAGCATCATTGATGTGGAGGGGGTTGTCCAGAAGGTGGCACAGCCAGTGGAGAGCTGCACACAGAGGGATGTGGAGCTGCATGTGGAAAGGGTTCGTACCATACATTAACATGTAGATGGAGGTTCCAAGGGGATAGGGACAGTAAGTGGCAAAGCTTGTGAACACTTGAATACAGAGGTATACATATTAGGTATAACCTGTGCCTACCTAACTGTTATACCTATACCTAGTCCCATCCATATGCAAGGGACACAGGAACAGAGCAGGCAAACACAATCCTTGATATAAGGATAGAATGTCATACCTTTTGTGTGGAAAAGTATACCAAATTTCATTGAAGTTTGCTGATGTTTGGGGCACATAGTGATAGATTAACAGTTATATGATACAGTTTTATGATACATTAACAGTTACTATTTTGTGGAAAGACACATGCTGTGTTTTAAAAAAAGTGTTTAAAAAGTGACATTCACATTTTCCTTGTAGGTATTTGTGGTGAGTGCCTCTGCCCCACAGTTACCCTTACAACTGGACGATGCAGCCAGGCCAGAACACGATGAGGTCAGCAGTTTTCTTTACTTATGATGATGATGATGAACTTTAAATTTCTACTGCTGTATATGCAGTCTTTAATTTTTAAGCATATCATACAGTGGCCAGACAGTGTCCATTGGCCAGAGGAGTGTCCATTAGCCATCTTGTGTGCCCAATGGATACTGCCTGGCCAATTTGATACCATCTTTAGCAACCACCAAAACACCTGCTTGGAAATTACTATATACATACATTAATTACCTGGTATACACATGGACACTGTACTAAAAACGTTATTTTCTGCTGTTGTACATGTATGTAGTCTTTTTTTTCTTACAAAATGTTGACTCAGGGTTTTGCATACATGTACATGTTGACACAGAGAATGAGATCTATTTTTGTTTGTTTATTTGTTTGTTTGTTTCAGGAGGATGCCAGTCGACCTCGTGTGAACCAGGACACCAGGCTGGACAACAGGATTATAGATCTCAGGGTGAGTCGGGCTTTCATAGCCTTCAGTAAAATACTAGTAACACATAGCTAGTTCAGAACATAGAAAACAAAGAATTTATAAGATGCCCCTCCAATGGCCTCCATACTACCAGTCCTATTGTATTGCCATCTTAATGGGGTTATCATTTATATATATATATATATGTCAGTCAGTCTCAGTAGACTAAGACTAAACTATGCAAACCAACAACTGAATGGTTCATTCCTAATAACAATTACAAAGCAAATTTCAGTCATAAAAAAAATAATACAGAAAATAAGTGTCCAAAGTAAAAGTTAGTTACTCTGTTCATTTTTCCTGGGGCCTGTTTGGCAGCAGAGGCAGCGTGTCGTCAGCGTGCACGTTTGTCCTCTCAGTCTTCCCACTGTCTGTGCACAGCCTCGGCACTCTTTATCAGTACAACAGTACTCCTGAAAATCTGTACACTTGACACTGTTCTATAATGGTACGGTGTACACTCAAAACTGTACAAGAACAACACTCAAGGGACCAATAAAAGCTGTTTCACTATAGTTATAGGTCTACAAGACTTATGCTTACTTCAATGGGAAAAATGATCTGTATTGGCCGGGTGGTTCTTATGTAGAAGTGATCAATTACAGGTTTGACTGTAAATAATAACAGTACAATATGATATAATCTTCAAACTCCTTGACTGGTCACTATATACATGTAGATAAGCTTGACTAGACAGCGCAAGTTGCATTGAGGTTAGAAAACATGAAGTAACTACGAGTTCATGATTTTGCTCTGTGATTTCAGACGACGACAAACCAGGCAGTGTACCGGGTGGTAGCGGGAGTGTGTGACCTGTTCAGGTCTACTCTGACAGGCAAGGGATTCGTGGAGATCCACACTCCCAAAATCATCTCAGGTCAGTCTGACTCTTTCGACCTTTTCTGCACACACTGGATCATAAGTTACGGAAAGTTCATAGCACCCATTCCCTTTTTGCAATCAAGGTTCTCTTTGAAACCTCCTTTCTGCAAGCTATGGTCCATCTCAAAAGTGGTGGATTGCTTATTCCTAAACAAATTGGGTATCTGTAAATGTATAGCCAGTATAACTGTCATTACAGTGTATCATACCAGCTTCACAGGCATGGGGTGTAGCTGGCTATGTTACAACGAATATGACAATCATACTAACACTGCCATCCTTGTACCTGGTGCTGAATGACATTCACACTAACACTACCATCCCTGTCCCTGGTACTGAATGACATTCACACTAACACTGCCATCCCTGTCCCTGGTGCTGAATGACATTCACACTAACACTGCCATCCCTGTCCCTGGTGCTGAATGACATTCACACTAACACTGGCCATCCTACATGTACTACTAGTGAGCCAATGCTTTTGCGCGTAATTTGTTTATGACGGTAACATTTTACTCGTCTGTTTTTGTTTCAGCGGCCAGTGAGGGAGGAGCTAACGTGTTCACCGTGTCGTACTTTAAGAACAACGCGTACCTGGCCCAGTCCCCACAGCTGTACAAACAGATGGCCATCGCTGCTGACTTCGAGAGGGTCTTCACTGTTGGGGCTGGTAGGTTTCTATCCTCTTCTAATACTTCATTCAAGGAAAGTAGATAGTACAACATATAAGTCAAAACTGGTCGAATATCGGACTCTTCTCAACTGTTATCCTTCCCTCTCTCATCAACATAAATAAACAAAGACAACTAATTTGGTCCAAGTAAGCAGAAACAAAAATGAAGCATGTAAATGGCCACAACTCAATAACAACAAATACTGAATTTTCAATACCATACTGTAACAACAAAATAGCTTACATCTTTTTTCAGCTTTTGTAAACAATGTTTGTCATCACTTATGCTGTTACAGTAGATGAAGACAGGCTCAGTTTCTGCATGGTCTTTCACCAAGGTTCATCCAAACCTCAAATAAATATATACTGTATATAAAGACAGTCTCTGTGTGGTATGGTATCTCACCAGTGTTTCATGGCTCATGTTCTGTGTAATCTCTCACCAGTGTTCCGTGCGGAGGACTCCAACACCCACCGTCACCTGACTGAGTTTGTTGGCCTGGATCTGGAGATGGCGTTTAACTACCACTACCACGAGGTGCTAGACGTCATCGGGGACATGTTTGTGCAAATCTTCAAGGGGCTCAGGGACAGGTAAGGAACATTTGTTGTAGTTCCCAGTAGAAGATTTAAGAAGGCGTTCAACCATCACCATTTACTATTTATGGTTTTTACAGCTACATGTAGTTGTAGTACATACACTTGTAACAGTCTGTTAAGTTTCTTCCACCACACCTTGTGAGCACCCTTAGATCTCCTTTCCTTATAATATATATCATTATATCATATCATATCACATCTGCATATAAGGGGGATCATGTAAGAAAACCATGCCTTCAAGTTTATGAACTTCAGTATTCGGTTCTCAGTCATGAACCTTACTCTGTCAGCTTTTTTTGTCATTCTATTGTTCAAAACAAATACATTGTAGACAGCTAGCCTTGTTCCTTTTTAATGATAATATTTAGTTACCAAAAGCATACTGTCTGCCACAGGTATAAGACCGAGATCAACACCATCCAGAAGCAGTTTCCGTGCGAGCCCTTCCGGTTCCTGGAGCCTAGCCTCAGACTGGAGTTCCCTGAGGCTGTGGCCATGCTCAGGGAGGCTGGGGTGGAGATAGGGGATGAGGACGACCTCAGGTGAGCCTGCAACAAGGCTATTTTTTTAGAAAAAAAGTTGGAATCCAAGATTCACTAAAAAACTCCTTAACTGGGCTATTTTTTGTGTGAAGATGTTATACATGACGTATAATGTAAAGATTGGGAAAATATTGTCTGCAAGAGTACATATACATGTACATGGGTCCTTAAGTACCATTTTGGTATGACTTAGTCTGGGAATTAAAGCCAAAACTACTACATTGTACATGTACATGCACTCTATTCACCAGGCTATTGCTTTTGTTACTATTTTCTGTTTTGAGTTGGTTTTGAGACAGATTGGGAATTGAGTATAGATGAATATAATACTCTTGTCTTGCCTTGTCATGTCTTGGTCTTGTTTTGCACAGCTTATATACATTTATAGTTGTTCAGTGTAACTACTAGAGTCAGTCAGGTATAAAATGTGTGAATCTGTTTTCCAGCACTCCTGATGAGAAGCTGTTGGGAAGGTTGGTGAAAGCCAAGGTAAGAAGACAGGGTTGGGCTGAGGGATTCTGTAAAAGCATGTCTTGTACAATGTAGTAACTGTTGTTACAACAGGTATAAACAAATTGTACACTTACAGTGTACTCTGATTATATGTTAACTCTGATTATATGTTCATGGGGACTTCATTTAAGAGTAGGAACTAGGAATAAAAAGATGTTAACGGTGTTCTAAGTTTGTTGTTACAAAATCTGTAACGTTAGTAAGTACAACAGAAGACAGAATTTCATCACAGTGTTAGAAATTTGCATCGAGAAGCCATTTAATATTGGCAAACATATTGCCTTACAGTATTTTAGCCTCAATGTACTAATAACATATATTTGTATTTATTTTCATTTTCAGTATGACACTGACTTCTTCATCCTGGATAAGTTCCCCCTGGCGGTGCGCCCGTTCTACACCATGCCTGATCCACAGAACCCGGTGAGTAGGGCATGGCGGCCATCTTGGTCACCTTCAGATTCAAGGTCACGTCATCCGGGTGGGCCAATGGGTCAGGGGTCAACGCCCTCTTGCGCAATCTTGGATGTTTTCGGCGTATAGTACGACTTCTTAACTTACAAATACCGTGGTATACTGTCTCAGACGTTCTCGACATGCATTTTTACCGTGGGTACATGGTATGGGCTGCAGATGAAAATGTTGACCAGTCCTGTATTAACACAACCAGGAACGCTAAATCTAACACATAAAAATATTAAAATTCAACACCATCAACTATACAGAACAAACAACATGGAAAAATATACAATAAAAAGCCCGGAGGTATAAAATCTCAGATTTTACTTGTTTTAGTTTTTTGGCTGTGTTATAGCAAATGTATTACTGTGTACAGTTGTGTTTACCACGTCTGGGCATGAGTCATCACAATGGAATGCAGGGCATCAACCAATAGGCATGCAGCTTTCCTCTATACTTCTTGCTGATTGGCTGTTGGGATTTAACTTGATTAACACCTGCACAGAGCATTTCCACCTGCACAGAGCATTTCTTGCTGATTGGCTGTTGGGATTTAACTTGATTAACACCTGCTACAGAGCATTTCCATACTGACAGTATGTCTTTATTCAAGTGTTTTGGTAGGTATTTCAAGCTTTTCTGCTCCAGCATTGGAATGCGGGGCATGAACATTTTTTTATTTATTTTGAAAATCAACAGTTTGCATTATGCAATTAAAAATCCTAACCAATAAAGTAGGGAATAGCTATCCAACTGTTGTTTTAGTTGTATGTTACTTCATATTATAGTTATATCAAATTGAATGTAAATCATTGTTTTCCCTTGTGTTTCTCATTCTTTCCCTGCCATGTCGTAAAATGTGGTGAACCCATCGCTGTATTTGCTCCAAAGCAAATATTGGCCTTTCTAGTTTGTATATGAAGTACATGGAAGAAACTGGAGATTCATTCTTATCTTGAAAGTCCGTCTGTGTTGGTGCTAGTCATTATGAAACAACTTTGAACTGCAATAATCCATCACAAGAAATTGGACATCTCAAGACACTCAAGGACAACTCCAGTCTTTTTCAAGGAATGAGCAATCCACCGCTTCCGTGACGTCACGCAGATAACACACGTGACTCCGTGAGCAGTGGATCATAGGTTGCAGAAAGTCTGTGGCACCCCTGTTCATTCTTGTTTTCTTTCTTCCAACATTTGATGTTTTTTGTACTTGACAGAAATATGCCAACTCGTACGACATGTACATGCGAGGAGAGGAGATCCTGTCTGGAGCCCAGCGAATCCACGACCCAGAGTTCCTGACAGAACGGGCCAAGGCTCACGAGATTGGTAAGCAAACCAGAAATAACAGGACTGGGTAAATGTACTTGGATAGTAACGTTAACATTGGCAACACCTCTCTGGCATGATAAAGATATACGGATTGCAAAGGGATATTAGATCGGTTACGAATCAAACTGTTTTTCATTTGGTAAGAACCAAATTTCATTTGTTGTGCTGCAAACCAGACCCTCTCTGGGATTTTTTTTCTTTAACCGAATTTTAATGTCCTTTTTCCCCAACCAGGATTAGACGTGCTTGCACCAAGTACAAGTCTTTTTTTTAATCAAGATTTTTATGGATGGATAATAAAAAGATAATGATGTCAGGCTTTCTGAGAGACTTTCTGCAGAAGTATATAAACTTGTGGCAACAGTAAGTCTGCTTGTAAGGTTTTTGTTTATATTCCTAGAGACTCCGATCTGGTACAATTGGCAATTCTACCGACGGAAATCCTGATTTGAGTCTCTGATGGTAGAATCACAGATTCTCTCCCCTGACATGGATGTTTCTTTATCCATTTGTTTCAGACATTGAGAAGATCAAGTCTTACATCGACTCCTTCCGTTATGGATGTCCTCCCCATGGAGGAGGTGGGATCGGTGAGTTCGGCTTCACTTCTCCACAAGGCAGTCAAGTGTTGTTTCTGTCTTCATTGCCATGATCTCCAAGCAAACATTCGAGGGACAATTTATGAATCTAGCCTATGTAGCTAATAGTCCAGCCTTGTTAGCTTTGGTCCTCTCACCAAGATCCACTAACCTGTGGAGTGGACCAAAGCTAACAAGGCTGGACTCCGGGCTATTTTGGATCAGATCTTGGGCCGGCAGTCAGAAAGCCTCAAGATTTTGTCACAAGGAATATGCTTGTGATTAGTAGAGTTGTGCTTCTATTTGTGCCTGTGGGAATGGAAGGGTTGCCAAGCAATATGGGCAAGGGGTTTAAGTCTGCCACCTCTTAATGTCTTCTTAGAGAAGTGTAGAAAATTTCATCTTGGATAGATTGCTTTATGATCTATTACTGCAACCAAATGAGATTTTTTACTGGAGATAATCATTGCATATATTGTAGAAAGATGACACAACAGGGACTGTTCATTATACTCCTATAGGTATGGAGAGGTTTATTATAAGGATATGAGCTAACAGGGACTGTTCATTATACCCCTGCAGGTATGGAGAGGGTGGTCATGCTGTATCTCGGACTGAACAACATCAGGAAAACTTCCATGTTCCCCCGCGACCCCAAACGGTTGACCCCTTAATCTCTATAGCAACCACCGAAAGAAACTTCTCTAATTTCATGATAATTTGCATGGACCAAGAGCAAGAGTAAAGGTTTCAACAAGGAAGTTGTAAGATGAAGAAGTGACAGGAACTACAATGACCAAACTGTAGAAAGATACAGGAAAGCTAATAAAAATAATAATGGTTTGAAATTCCATCTTATTGTTTCTTTGAAGAGACCTTTATAAGAAAGAAATAGATGGAATTTGACACTTTAATAATTAATAACGGTACTAGATAAATGAATTTTTTTTCAAAAATTTGTAAAGTTACATTCTAAGACCCACACACAAATTTGCAAAACCTCAGTGTGTCCTATCACTGAACTATTTAATTATGTTGAATATTAAACATTTTACCAGGTGATGTATATCTTTAATAGGGCCAGTTCACAATACAACATTCAGCAATAGCTTCCCTGTTACCTTACTCAGTATACAGTGAAACATGTTGCCAACAGTTAAGAATTCTTGGGACAGTGTAGATAGATAGCAAGGTGTATTTTCTATAGTCTCTAGTCTACCAGACTAACTATGCTGGCTATATATAGCAGAATAATTGCCAGGGGAGTTTGGCCGCCTTGTAGGTTTGACTGGCCGCGCAGGAGGGAAAGAAACTACTAGTACCTCCCCGCAGCCGAACTCCCTTGGCCAATTTTACTCTCTTTTTTGCCGAATTCCACGATCCGTATTCCTGTAGAAAGGCCTGGTGGAGGCTATATTTTCTGGAAACCCACCAAGTATAATTTTTTCAAGATTGCATTTTTATGAATTGGCAGACCACTTGTACAATGTACAAGGGTTGTTCTTGCCCTTACAATTACTACAGACTTATGCTTGGAACAGGGAGAACAGGCTATGGTTTATCTGGGTTATGTATGGGGAAATAGCAGATTGGATGGATTGGAAAAAGGGGCCACTGACATAAGTAGTGAGACTATTAAGAACTGAAGGGTGTGTATGGGGTTTTGGAGTAGTATCAGTGTGGCAGGTAACATCACAATAAAGGTGACTGTCAGATATACAGGTGTTGAAGACATTATTTGTCAAGATAACACTTTTTTAATGTGGTTGCAGGTACTTGACACTTATATGATGTTGCTAAGGGTATGGATGAGACAAAAACAGTTTGAAACTCCAATCACAAAAGGCTGGTTTCTTTATTACAAACTGTGAGGTTTTGTTGTTCTAGTTTAATGTATACATGCATAGTACATTATGAATGTCCCTGCCGAATACCAACATGTATTACATGGTAATATCACATGGTTGTATACAGGAAAACTCCACTATCCTGAGTTAGATGTTTTCTATACAGCAAACAAAGTACAGGGTTTTCTGACCCGATTCAACGTTTCGGGCGCTTCCGTGGTTGCCATGCCCTGAACGGCCGCTAGATGTCGCTCTCTAACAAACGACCCCATTCAATCATGAGGCATTGCATATTACTAGTAAAATTTTTTCGACAATTTTAAAGTATACATGATCGAGCTACACATTTGTAGTATCCGTTCCCTTGCCGGGCTTTCTTCTTTTTATCCCGCCTTTTCTCCTGAGTTTTGGCGGTTGCGCTTCCAACTCTAAGGCAATGGACACATCAACATTAGGTCTCACCATGCCTATAGAAGGCTGCGTTACTTGGAACAGCCAATGCCCGACCATGCGGGAACCCGTGGCCCTTCTAAAGCTCTGCGCGTTCTTGTCCTGGTAGTAGTACCGGTTAAAGTTGGTCACAAAAACAGGCATCACTAAAGAGACCGTGAGGACGCCCGAAACCGCGCAAAGGCCCCCGACGACTTTCCCGCCAAGCGACTGCGGACACATGTCCCCGTACCCCACCGTTACCATGGTGATGACCGCCCACCAGAACGCGGACGGGATGCTCTTGAAGTGCGAATTCTCAAGGTCATACTCCACAAAGTAGATCGCGCTTGAAAAAAGCACGATCCCGACTAGAAGGAAGAACAAGAGAAGTCCTAACTCCTTCCAGCTTGCCTTGAAGGTCTTCCCAAGAACCTGCATCCCTCTAGAATGTCGCGCGACCTTGAGAATTCGAAACACCCGCGCAAGACGCACGACTCTCAAGGTGTGCACCAAGGTGTGTCCCTGCGCGCCCGGGCGTGACGTCAGCATCACCGTGACGTCGACAAAGTACGGCACGATGGAGAGAAGGTCGATGATGTTTAAGGCACCTTTTGCGAAGTCTGGCTTACTCGGACAGACCACAAACCGAGTGATCAACTCAAAGATGAACCAGAGAACGCAGAGAGTCTCCAAGACGAAAAACGGCTGCGCGAAGGAGCGGACTTCTTCTGGTTCCGACGCGACCAAGTCCTCGGCGAAATCTTGAAGAACCGGTACGGTTTCTAGGCAGAAGATACCGATAGCTAAGAAAACGGCAGCTACGGATATTCCAGCTACAATCTTAGCCCATTGTGAAGACTCAGGGTATTCGAAGAGAAGCCATATTTTCCTGAATTTTCGATTCCTCGGCAGCCTTGGTCGCATGGCAGCGCCGGCTAGTCCCTCCTTCTCACGAATCTGCCGAATTAAAGAATTTCCCATGTCGTAAAACTTTAACTCCTCAAGAAATATGTCCACAGGAACATCTGCTGGACGAGTCAGCTTGCCTCCTGTTTGAAAATAACTCAGGATCGCCTCAAAACTCGGGCGGTGTCGGTCGAAAAAGTACTCCTGTCGGGACGAGTCGTAATACTTCTTCATTCTATCGGCGTTTCCTAGTAAAGTGTCCGGGTAGCGACACAACGTTCCTCGCTGGGTTTCAAATTTCAAACCGCTAACGTTTATAACGATACGTTTACAGGTGTCTCCGTGTCCTTTTTGCCCACAAGGTCGACCTTGATGATGGGTTAGAGGGATGGTGTTTCCGTCTTGCTCTCCGGCCTCCTGATTGGCTGAGACCTCCTCCAAGGTCAGCAGTTTTCGCGCCACTTCTTCTAAGCTCGCGGCGTCCAGGCCGGCAGGGGACTCGGGAGGGTCGTCTTCCCAGGATTCCTGGCGGCTCATGGACTGCTGACGACTGGGAGAAGGAAGAAGAGCAAACATCTTAAGTTAGTGAAAAGTTGCCTTAACTTGAATGATATTCAATCCACTTTGCTAGGTACATTCAGCATGATTTTACATGGAAACGCATTAGGTCTTGTTCGCGATTCGTAATGAGATCTTTAATCAGGGCACATCACTTTTCACTCAACCGCGACGGGGGCCGACATCGTCTTCCCTTTGACCCAGTGTTTATACTTCGGTCGCAAATCTTAACCCACCGGCTTAATAGTTTTCTTTTCAGGCTGCCCAGTTTAAGACAAGAAGGGTAGAAAGCTACACCAAAAGCAACGATCGCGAGAACACCTAACTTCATCTCAAAGTAGATCTTATGGTGGTTACAAGACAATATCATTGACAGGGCAGTATCCAATACGTCACCCGAAAATAAAAAAGATACCGGTATATATATTAAAAAAAGAAAGCCCGATAAAAATAGATAAAAGATAAACTAAAACTTTTCTTTTATCTGTTACCAGTTTCGACTGTCTTGATGACCCGTGTATTGATATGTTGTGAGTTTCCAATAAAGTAAAACTCTGCTCTCTAAAGTGTAATATGACTAAGGTCACCTTGAGAAGGGCGTCTGCGCGAACCGCTTCCTGTGCCGGTACTGCGGAACTCCCGCCATCACGTCCATCGGGATGTGCATCGCCATGGCAACAGGTTACCTCAGCCTGTCGTCTGCAGGTTAGGCTGGAGATGTCACTGGTGCTGGGGAGAAATGAATAACAGATGAAAGAGGGCATAAAGACCAAATGCATCACTACTTGAAAATGGCAATCGGTCAGTAGACTGAACAAGTGCCAATACTCGTATCTATCATAACTATCATATATAAAGTAACAGAACTACTTACTAGTACTTAACAGAACGAATATACTTCAATTTCCCGTTATAATGATAGAAAGATATGCTTTCAAATGCTGTCTGTCTGTCTGTCTGTCTGTCTCTCTCTGAGTGTTTGTTCGTAGCTATTAAGGGCGGTACCAAAAAAATAATAAAGGGACTCCTCGCGTAGCTTGTTTGGGGGCTATTTCAAATGCTTGAAGTATGGAATGATAACGAAAATGTGCTACGAAATGGCAGTAAATAAATGTCAATATCAGACGGATTTCCTCATCCAGAATATTTTTATTTCGTCGTCCTGAAATTGCATTAGATGCCCTTAACTATTGTATTAGAAAGGGTGACGAATTTAAACATACCACAGGATTCAAAAGAAAAAACTAAATGCACGCATCTAATAGCACTTCTGATGTATATGGGGTTAGAGTGTGTTACCGACCCAGTTGTGCTCGGGTCACATTGCCGCTTTAGGGTGTTGGCAGTGCCAGATACCGTGACAGGCACGCACAGAAGGACTAACATGGAGCCGGCTTGGTTAGGGTTCTCATACTGTTGTGTGTAGGGCAGTAGAGGTCACTATGTACTGCAGAAACATACAGACAGACAGACACACATATGTGCACTCACGCGCGCATACAAACACACGGACGTACATGGAGCCGGCTGGGTTAAGCTTCATCGATTGAGTGTAACAAGTCGTTTGGTGTGATATAGCTAACTGCCGCCGCGCCGCGTGCCTGCGAAGCTGGTGTGTCACGCCGAAGGGCGCGGTTATACCGGCTATACAGATACAGATACAGAATTGATCCAACTTACTACATGAAAAGAATGACCAGATAATTGACTTTGTAAATCTAGTTTTGCCGCCCTGATATTGCATTGGATGCCTTTAATTTCTGGGCATAAGCCCAACAGTGGTAGGCCAATAGGCCCAAGAAGTGACACAGGCCCTAAATACGTACCGAGTACTCCATCAAAACAAACCTATCGCCGGTCTACAAAACATGTAACGTTTGTTCGCGAAAAACAACTACAGGGAACCCTGAGGCCCTGGGCGTCGACATAGTTAACCTCAAGCCTGCTACGGTAGCCTTATTGGCTCCAAATTTGTACTGGTTAGCAGGTTATGCATGTAGATGGTCATGCTATATTTTACTGCTATTTCGTACAGGAAACAACTACATGTATAAGGAAGGGAACACTGGAATAAGGCAAGAAACCGTTTTTTTTCATCATGGAAGTTCATCTGTGTTGGTAGTAGTCATAATACGATGTAATTGTTAGAACTTCATTCCAACACAAGGGTACACACAGATCAAATTTTCGACGTCTACTGTCGCCTTCACCAGGATAAGTAATGACCGATCCCTTCCGAACGTAAATTAATAAAATCTATACTTTTTGTCAATCACCGGTTGATATAAGTGATTGGCAGCTGTCACTTCCGATTTGTGGCGTTTTGACCGCCTGGTTTATTTCTGTATGTCATGAACAAATTCGGCTGCCGCTTATCAAAAGCTCATCTCAAACTAGTCGGCAGCTCGCTTGAGTACTCTCCAAGCAGAGGTTTGGGTTTTGGGGGTATTTTTAGCGTGTTTTTAGGCTTTTTTATCGGGGTTACTCTTTTGCACTAAATTTTTTCCCACCAAACCCAACAAAAAAATTCAGTGCAAAAGAGAAACCCCGATAAAAAAGCCTAAAAACACGCTAAAAATACCCCAAAACCTCTGCTTGGAGAGTACGCTTGAGAACATACTCACGGGACAACAGTTTATAAGGGACCGTTCATTTGTATCCGTTTAGGAGCAGAGTCAATATACATTCTACCGGTTAAATGTCACAGATCGTCTGAGGAAGATATCCTAAAGCTTATCTCTGGCATCTATCCCTTAGTCTTAATTTTTCGAGCGTTGGGGCACCACAGATTATCTGACAGACAGTTTTCACCACCCTTCTCGGTTTTCTGTGCATCTTAACGTTTTGTAACGTTTTGTAGTCTTCAATTTAAACTAAAAAAAGAAACTAACATTTGGTGTAAGTTGTAACATTCATATTACGGTACAGGCACTGGTAGGTTACTGGGTTTATCCAAGATACGTCCAACGTCAAGTCGTCAAGGAACCATTTTCGGTACTTTTCATGGCGAAACAACAGTTCAACAAGCCGCCATAGCATCTCCTACCAATCCGTAGACTACATGATAACCTATAGGTGCCAGCCAAAACAAATCACAAGTTCAAGAGAGGTGCTTACCTCTAGTTCTTGTAGTCTGAGCCAAGGCAAGGGGGCGGCCATATTGTATCTACATCCGATACCCTCGCTAGAACTGCCGGGTTCCCAGGTCAGCATTCCGGCTTTATCTTGTAGAGTTGTTTGATTACAGACGACTTCTGTTGGCTCGCCCGGAGTTCCAGCCAGTCACAGAGGTTACTTAAACACGCAGCTAGAACTACAAGGGGTCAAACTCACTTAGCTCAAGGTTTCATGGAGAGAAATATTTCAGCGCGAATGTTGGTGAGAGATTGGCAAGACTGTAGGACAGCATTTTCGTCGAGAATGCCGTACAATAAAAGAGACGATGATACCCCGCGCAGAGTTCCAGCCTGCCAGAGGTTACTTAAACACGCAGCTAGCCCTACAAGCTTCACGGGTCAAACTCACAGCTCAAGGTTTCACGGAGAGAAATGTTTGAGAGCGAATGTTGGTGAGAGATTGACAAGACTGTAGGACAGCATTTTCGTCGAGAATGTCGTACAGTAAAAGAGACGATGATACCCCGCGCAGAGTTCCAGCCTGCCAGAGGTTACTTAAACACACAGCTATAAACCCTACAAGCGCCACAGGTCAAACTCACAGCTCAAGGTTTCATGGAGAGAAATATTTCAGCGCGAATGTTTGGTGAGAGATTGACAAGCCTGCAGACGACAGTTTGGTCGAGAATGTCGTATAATAAAAGATGTGGCGATAACCCGGTCGGTTGTGAGTGAGTTGTTAGTTGTTTCTAGTGTCACAGCCTGTTTCAAAACATTGCGACATCAAGACCGTGCGACGTCCTACTATGAATGTCTCTGCGTCCTTTAACACAAACTCACTGAGCTCACGGTTTCACCGAAGAAATACTTGAGCCATGCGAATGTTGGTGAAAGAATCTTGGTCCAGAATGTCACGGTACAATAAAAGATATGGCGATACCCCGGCCGAGTGTGAGTGACTTGTTAGTTGTTTTCTGTCACAGCTGTCTATGCGACGTCCTACTATGAATGTCACTTCGTCGTTACAAACTCCACAGCTCAAACTCACAGCTTCACTGGCGGAGAAATACTTCAGCGCGCGAATGTTGGTGAAAGATCTTTGTCGAGAATGTCGCACAGTAAAAGATGCGGCGATAACCCGGTCGGTTGTGAGTGAGTTGTTAGTTGTTTCCTGTCACAGCCTGTTTCAAAACATTGCGAGAATTTGCGACATCAAGACCGTGCGAAGTCCTACTATGAATGTCACTCTGTCCTTACAAACTCCACAGTACAAACTCACTGAGCTCAAGGTTTCACCGAAGAAATACTTGAGCGCGCGAATGTTGGTGAAAGATCTTCGTCGAGAATGTCGTACAGTAAAAGATATGGCGAGGCCGACCGAGCGTGAGTGTTGAAAACTGTTTGTGCAATCGAAGTACCAGTCCTCGCCTTCAAAGTCCCCCGCATTCTGACCCAGAATACTGGGCCAAAAGAGACGTTAGTATCTTTATTAGGGAGGGATTTGACAAGCCGCTTGGAAATAGTAGAACTCTGAGGAAAGACGTGCGACAACATTTGTTTCTATGTAGCATGGGCTTCAACATGTGTTTCAATGTAACACTATAATTTGTTTCAATGTAGCACTTCGTTTGTACCGGTGCCGTCACATTCATTGTAGCGATTCGGAGGTCGTCGTTCGATACTGGTGTCACAGTATTTCTAGAACCAACTCACAACAAAGATCTAATGCAGGCATTTGCATAAAAAGAGAGCCGATTTTTTTCAGGACAAATGTACGACAGTCACAAGAATGTCCTTGGTTTGCGATCGAACAACAATCGCCCTAACCTGTCATTAGATAGCTTTAAACAATGTCTAGAGTTAGAAGTTCAAGGGTTAGGTGTAACAAGTCGATCGGTGTAATGTAGCCAGGTGCCGCGTGCCTGTGAAGCTGGTGTGTTACGCCGAGGGGCAGTTATACCGGCTATACTGATACAGATACAGATACGGAAACTTCGACGGCGTATAATAGAAAATAACCTCTGTAATAAAAGAAGTTTTCTGACTTTCTTTGCTATTTTTTTCTTCCATTCTGAACTCGACTGTGTTAAAACTATAAGTTGGGGATTAAATTTCTGATTTGTTGACGCCGGTGTTTTGATAATTACCCTGGCCTACATGACTATTTGGTCATCGCTTATCGTTAAGCGAACACGGGCAAGTGATTAGTCCAAATGAGACGGATGGATTCACATTTGGTCTGGACGTCCTAATAGAAAAAGGTCGAGTTCCGTAACAAGTGTTTTTGTTTCAAGTTTCAGGACTTATCTGGGTATCCAAAACCCATTCCCGAAAGGGAGAACATTTCTAACCCATACCCAGTTTTGCCATAACGGATTTTTCGTACGAACTCAATAGCTTGTGACGATACCGTGTTTACCTTTTTATGTTTTGCAGTGTTACCTTGATCTTAATTTCACTACCATTTAATAGTATTTTATCCATTACTATTTTCCAATGAAATGCGTTATAACAAGAAAAATTAAGAATTTTTTCCAACATTTCTGTGCTTTGTTTGGTTCATGGTTCAAATGAGTTTCAGATGATCGTTTTAAGAAGTGGAGCACCCC